TGATACAAAGTCCAAGTAAGACACATATGCGATCCCATCTGCCAAACTCCTTCCGTATTCCCCGTAACACGCTCAAAAGATCCCTCAATACAAACACTACCACTCATGACCCCTGCGGGCCAGGACTATGCTGTAGTGACCAAAAAGCGCTTTTCGAGTCACGATGAACATCCCATCAAGCTCAGGCCCCGTCCAACCGTCATGTTTGAACAGCGAGCGCTGATTCCGCATGCATTCCCCCTGCCGGAGAACAACCTCTTGTCCAGTTACGGAGCAAGGGACGGTGCCGCTAGAATAGAACGTGGAATTGTTTGACTTGTGCTACACTCGTCTATATATAGCAAAGTGCCTTCTACACTTGACATGGTCCCTTTTTTATTGTCTAGACACGCATCAAGATCTACTTGGGTATACTAAAAGCTCGTTTTCTACATGGTGTGTATCGAGGCGTTGCTCTGTCTTTTTGTATCTGCTCACCGACCCAGGGACTTGAACGGCGCTGACCATTGTGACTCTGAACTGGTTGAAGAATCCTAGAAGCTATTATTACATCTGAAGTGAATGATAGGCACGTCTTCAGCGCTAACATGTACCTGGAAATGAACGATAAAAGACCCCCTTGGTTGTCAGCGCAGCTACCTCCCCATCAACAATGCGAATCGCCCTTTCCCTGGTCTTCACTTTCTTCATATTCTGTACTGTAAGTGATGCCTATCGGATTAGTGTGAACCACTGACTCACTACGCGCTAATGATCTAGTTGGCTGCCCCGGCCCCAGAGGTGACAAATTATGTTTACAATTGTACGGCGTTGCATCTCAGAACACCAACAGGTCGGAACATCGCTCATTAGACGACAATCCTGCGGAGGCTTCTGCCAGGTATCAGCCGACTGTGATGGTACTGGTGCTACAGGATGTGTATGCGTCCCGTTATCATCAGGGGGTATAGGTGTAAGTATGAATTATATCGTGAAGAGCGTGGCTTATGTCATTTTGTAGCGTTGCCACTGATGATCGGAAAGACAATGTTGAAGGATGGAGAAGCCGAGTACCACGATCATATTAATAGTAGGCTCCTATCATTACACCATAAGGGTGTATTCCCCTGTACAAGTCACACACCAACGTACTGTGGCACGATCACAGCACGATGTCTTGACCCCTCAACATTCAACCATTCACATTCCTATCTCCAAACATCATTCGTCGAAGGGGTGATTATGACGCCCAACCACTCGCAGACAAACCGATGCGTTGTCTTCACGTTCTCGTGCACGCAATGGGGATCATACTCCTGCCAATTTCCCGGTTCCCGTTCCCTGCAAGGATGGAATAACCCTTAGCCCAAGCCAATATCCCCCCATCCTGATCACTGAGTCTCGTAAGGTAAATTCGGTGTCACTACTATGTCCTCTCTAATATTTGCGATGAAGAGCTAAGAAAGCTCATCACTGGAAAGTTGCTTGCAAGGAGTAATACTGCAAGGTATACTCTTTGTCGCACCCGGTTCTTCGACGCCTCCGAGTCGTCTGTAACTTCATTCCGGATCTTAGATTGGACCGCTGATCTGCAGTCCCAAAATTCGATATTTACGACGAACGCAAAGATCGGTACGGTATTCATTCGACGAAATGCTAGTTCCCTAGATTTCATTTGACCTTGAGAGGGCCAATTCATGTGAAGGAAGGTATAGGCAGCCCCTTGTAATGGTGTGGCTCAGAGTCAACATTAGGCCTGTCACGCTAATTTTAGTCTTACCCACAGAACACGCGGAATAAATATGCTTTCTACACTACACGCTTACACCGCGTGTGAAGCAGCCTTTAAGATACCAGATGTATGCATGTTCCTCTCATTCCTCGCAAGCTTGAACATCTACCATGTCGAACTCGTGCCGCTCCAGGACGATGACCCTTACGCACTCGCTGGTCTCTGATACAGATACTGCCATGGAGACAACAAGCGCTGCTCAGGAAGGTGAACCATACACTACAACACCAGAAAGAGAGGAAGGTAGGTCCATCTCCAAGGGCGAATGGAACTCGGGCAAGAACATTGGTTTTATGTTTTGACGGGACCGGGGATCAGTGAGTTTTGTGATCAATGGACGATGTGCTACCTGCTGAAGCAATCCAATAGGTTTGATGATGATGTCAGTCCCGCAGCGGTTTAGCACTCTTCGTCATTCTCACGAGAACCTAGAATTCCAATATTGTCGAATTCTTCAGTCTCTTGAAGAAAGACGACCCCACAAAACAAGCAGTTTACTACCAGGCATTAAATAGTATTCCTTTAATATCACTTTCAAGAGGCTCAATTTCTCTACCTTAGGCCGGGATTGGTACTTATACGGCTCCACATTTTGCTTCACGTTTAACGGCTAAGATATCGAAGGTACTAAGCTTTATGCATATAATAGATCGTTCAGACCTCAAAATCACCCCAAAGGTTATGGACGAAGCGATTGCATGGAACCTCCACTCCCATGTTATGCGTAAGCACCGAGAAATTCAGGTTCTATATCATTATTCATAATGGCAGACTCTAGACGGGTATGAGTTTCTCATGCAGAATTGTAAGGACCAGACCGCTTTTACTTGAATTTTGTTGAGTTCATCCTTCTAGATACCCACGGAGACAAGATCTGCATTTTTGGGTTTTCGCGAGGTGCCTACACGGCAAGAAGGTGAATAAACAATGAATTTCGTTCTTTTCACGATATTCAATAGCATCATAGCTTGGCTGGGATGGTGCATAAGGTGGAGAATACTCCAACTGCTGTGCGATTCACTTAGTCTTTTTCAGATCGGAATTATACCCGCATGGAACTTCCAGCAAGTGCCCTTTGCATGGAAGATGTACACACGCGAGGACAGAGTTGGTTGGCAGCAGTCAAAGAAGTTCAAAGAAACATTTTCAGCACACGCCAAAATTGAGTTCTTGGGTGTATGGTGAGCAGATTCAAGTTCTTTGTTACTGGCCCATCGTTCAATTGTAAATATCAGGGATACTGTGGACTCTGTAGGGATTATTCCTCGCCGTTTACCATTCACCAGATCGAATACGAATGTGAAGACATTCAGACACGCAATGGCTTTGGACGAGCACCGCGTCAAGTTCAAATTTCGACCTTGGGAAGATACACCACCGGACGAACGCGCCTTCAGAATGCGAGAAAAAGAACGTCACAGGCGGGAAAGTGAATATGACGCCGATGATCATAAAGCGAAAGAAGAGAAAGCGAAGGAAGAGAAAGCGAAGGAAGATCATTCTAACGAAAAAGCGAAAACTGACGTGAAAGAGGTAAGTTGGTTAATACCTTAGGTACATGTTACTGAAGATCTACGTCAACTAGGTTTGGTTTGCTGGTGCACACTGCGGTACGTCAGTACCAATGGGAACTCGACGAAGCTAATATCAAAGGTATTACCACAGATGTCGGCGGTGGATCAGTTCCCAATGAGACCAAGCCCAGTCTTGCCCGCATCTCGCTTCGCTGGATGGTTCGAGAGTGCCATAAAACCGAAACTGGAATACTCTTTGATTGTAAGAAACTGGAAGCCCTCGGTCTTGACCCCGCTGTTCTTTCGAAGGAGACATCTGGTAGTTCCAGCTCTCCAGACCAGACTGCGGCCAGTACCGAAAGTACCCCGATCATCCCATCGGAGGTACATATCTCAACAGCAAACGAGAGCAATGCCACTACTGTAAAGGAAGAGAAAGATACCGATCTCGAGGATGCGACTTCGAAAATCTTTGACCAACTTCGCCGTAATCGAGTCTGGTGGATTCTCGAGTTCATCCCGCTGATGACGATACATAGAAAGGAGGAGCAAAGACGCGTATGGAAACGTTTGGGCTGTAACCTAGGTGGAGGTCGGGTCATTTCCAAACCGAAGAATGAGGACACAGTAAAGATCCATAAAAGTGTATACACCAGGATCATGCACGAAGGGTATCAACCGAAAGCAAGGCTGGTTCGCAACGAGAAAAGAGCCTCGGAGCGCAGTTGGCCAACAGGGAAAGAGAATGATACATGGCACAAAGCATGGCGCGAGAGGTATAAGGTGGAATGGGTCGATTAAGGATTAGTGATAGTCTGATAGAACGGTTACCTAGTATCTCTCTGTGTATAGCTTCCCGGAGTCCAAGCTGCGAATCTGATGCTATGTGGTCCATGCCAACGCCATAGCCCCTAGTGCCGCCACAATACTAATCACGAACACTAGCGTGCATCCTCATGGCACCGTTTTTCCCGCTTATATTCGCAGCATCCACTTCTCTTCCGTTCAATCTGCAAGTCCTTGCGTACTCTGATTTATTCGCGTCATTAGCTCGACGCAGAACTGAATATATATGCTCTCACCATTATACACTCCTTGCATTCTATCCTCTTCTCCTGTCACCGATACGACACAATTCAAAACGTTCACTGTAGTATCACTGTACTCTTCCGAGCATAGACACTTATAGAACGCCTTTGAGTCATTGTGGGAATCACATTCCTAGATATATGCGCAGTCAGCGCCGGGGTACCGACAAGAGTGACTCGGACGTACGGCGCTCAACTCATTCCACACATCAATCCGAGGCTCACATCTCTCTAGAACTTCTTGACTCTGTACGTCATCCGGAAGGTCAAAGCTTGCGTTTTGAGATAGAACAAAAGCTGGATATGAGTGAGAACTCTGAGATCAATATCACGACTGCGGAGACGAACATCAAACACATACGTAAAAGACCGAACAAAATGAACGTGTATCGGAAATGCATGAAGCGAGAGGAAAGCATGAATGGTGAGATAAGCGCATTCTGTAGCGAGCTGTTTATATTGAGTTTCAGCTGCCAAGAAACCAAGTCAAAAGTACGAAATGGTTACTCTTCGCCGGGCTGGACTTTTACTCCACGGCATGCGATTCTGGAAGTTTGATGCGAAGTTAGAAATCACGTCGAGGCTGAAGGAAATAGTAATCAAAAAGTGGATCACTTACTGATCACCTGACAAGAGTGGGATTCGAACCCACGCCCGAAGACTAGAGTCTGATCAAAGAATGACCTAAATCTAGCGCCTTAGACCACTCGGCCATCTTGCCATGTTCTCGATGGGTGAAGGAAAGCAATACAGGACTCCAAGATCGATGTCGTTGGCATTGGTGTTTGTAGTGCCCATTTCCTCAAGCTATTGACCGGATGTCTCTGTTGTACACAATCCTGTAGCCTCCATCCAGACACACCAGAGCCATAGTCGAATCGAAATGGGCCCCAACTGCCGAAGTTGCGGGCCTGGTTTATACGGTCGTCTGGCGAGCACTGAAACAATTGGCCATAGAGACAAACCCACAACCATTCATCCAACGGGGCGCTTAGCTCAGGGGTAGAGCGCTCGCTTCGCACCCCCAGTTTGACTGCGAGAGGTCGTGGGTTCAATTCCCACAGTGTCCAACGTCCGATTTCTTTTTCCTGTTCTGGATCGAATAGTTAAGCTTTGTTTTCTCAAGATCCTCTCGGGAGCGGGGAGGTCGAACCTTGGCACAGGCCGGGGAGCAATAGGAAATGCCCAAGGAGATTATTCACGCTACGAAAAGGCTAATCTGAGAATCGTTTAGCAGAAAAGACAACGGTTGACGCACCCGACGACGCTGGATGTCGTTTCCGCCATGGGTTTGAGCATGAAATAACAGGCGAGACCTGCAAGGCACTAACTCATCAGTAATAGAATGCGTGGAGGGAGCAAAAATGTGATTACCTTGCCATCGAGCAGCGATGCTAGTACGCTAAATAGGGACCTCTGAGGGTGACCTATGGTGAAGCCAATCGACATGCAGCTACCGTAATGATCCTGGAGATGATATACCAAATGCTAACGGAAATGAGATGGTGTAGGAGGTTCGGCTCGGTATCTTCTGTGGTGGATGTGACACGTCGAACGTTGAATAATGAGCGGTCAAAGCGTGGTCGAGAACCGAGATCGTGTGCCTCATGAACGCAGAGCATTGAAAACTAGCACCACCCATTATCGAGCAAAGTGATGGAGGAACCTACTGTGTAGATGGTTGTTACTTATTGGCCTGCTTTGATACTGTGTAGACCTTCCGCCAGCCCCCGGTGACACGGTCTACCATTCAATACTATGTCTCGAGAACGGGATGACTCTGGTGAGCTGTAATGAAGCTCATGAGTGTCGTCCAGGATCAGAAAAGTCTTATAACTCACCTGTAGTTGTGTACCTTCCAAACCCGCGTCATCCATCGGAGTAGAGAATTTCCCAAGCTGAATAGCGTCGACAGTGAGCCCGGCCTGATGTTGGAGGCTGGTAAGTTACATAATTTGAGCGTGATATCGAGGGGAAAAGAGAGGGATCGTGGAAGGGAAACGCAAACAAGGAAGGCGTACAAACGAGCTTTCTTCAGAGATGCAGTCGGACTCGAAGGCTATGTTTAGGACAAGCCCTCCAAATAAGCACATCAATGCAAGGGCGGGTGTAAAGATCTCGATTTGTGTGTAAAACAGGACGAGTTTGGGAATGTAGTGGTGAGAGGAAAAAGCGAGGAAAACCAGTGATGGAAGCGAACAGCAAGCGAAGAACGTGATTAAGGCTGCACAACATCAAAGCCAAAATGGACACACTGGGAATTGAACCCAGCACCCCCCGCAAGCTTACACGATCTGTCTGTTATGCTAAGCGGATGTGATAACCAACTACACCATGTGCCCAACAGATAATTGTCCCACACACAACCACAAGTGGCAAGTCATCGGGAAATATCCGAGTTCTCTTAAGCCAGACAACATAATACTAGCTCACGTATATACGACATTAAATATCAATGCAAGCGCTACTAACAAATATTAAACACACGCAGAATTCACCCAAGGGAACGAAGGCGGCGGAACCTGACGGAACACCATAGTTCCCAAAACGGCATATCTGCCTGATTGCGGCGGTTTCCGCAATTAAAGCCGAGGGAAGTGCTTGGGGCTGGCTTTGGGCCTAAGCATCACGGCATCCATCACCTGCTCCAATTTTCATTAGCAACCACGATGTAGTACGCCGACTCCGTCCCTACCAAGTCGTACTTTTGCCTAATCCTAAAAGATGAAGACGGGTGCAATTTGTATCGACTAAAAAACGTTAAATGAAAGGAAGGTGCAATGCGCGGATCTTGAACCCGCTAGGTATTCAGCCTTTCCTGTGCTCTCCTAAGGTAACCATCCTAACCATTCTACGATAAGTCCTTTTCTGTTTCTTTCACGCGTTGTATGGCTTCTGCGGAATCACTCGTTAAACCACCATTTACCCGGTACGCTCGTTTTACTTCCTACGGGCACACATTGATGTTAGACCCGAACTAGGTTTCACATCTGTCTAGTATTACCCGCTCCTTTCTTTTTTGCAAAGTTCCCTCACAAGCTATACTGTCGGAAAGGATCGAAGATAATGGAGAAGGTATGGTAGTATACCTTACCGTTGTACTGTATCTTTTGAATTCGACGATTCCAGCGGAAGGTTTTCCACAGGAACGATGGCCGCCAATCCGACATTTACCGTAAGGCCTCTTCACACCTTCTTTTGCTCTGTGCGTGCTCATTACCCCTTTCATGGTCACCTACGCTGATTCCAAACTAAGACATGGTTCATCACGCGGAGTCGATTCACGTCCAGAAATGAGGTATTGGAGTCAAAGAACGCTTCACGAAAATTATTTGGTATCGCGCCAATGCTCGCGTTCATCCGCCCCAGCTATTCAACACATATTCGCTCGCCCCAGCCCCACATTGCCCCCTACATATTCGTTTACCCTCGCCGACGCTTCCCGGGTCCGAACGATAGATCGTACAGGTTCAATCATCAACAGGAGTCGAAACATGCTGTATCGAGGAGCAGAAAATCCTTTCCCGTAAATGCCTCGGCGGTTCGAGGACGCTAAAAATAGATTACCTCGATATGCGGCTCAATGGCGCGTCGTTTTCCGTGACTAGCTACAGCTTCTGGTTTTTCTGGGAGCACCGTCGGTGTGACTGTAGCTCTCCATACAGGTCAAAGTCACCATAAGACACGTGTTTGTGGATGGGTTATGTTCAAATCTCGACATGAACGACGAGCTGAATCTCCTAAAATGGAGCGAACCTCCGTTCTCCGGAGATGTCCCCAGGACGTCGATCATATCACGCTCTACGGAGAACTTCTCCATTTTCCCCGCAGTTACAAGCTTGGAACAGTACTGAAGATTTCCTGGTCGGTTAGATGAAATTATCCTATCAACCTTTCTCGAAGGCTCCGTGTTTGAATACACAAGCATTCTCAAAGGTAAATCACCATCAAACCATTAGACTTTTCGGACAGTGTGGATTATACGATCAAGGTCTCAGACCCTACTCCTCTGTCGCCATGCCCGAAAATGACGCGATTCAACATCCCCTATGCATATGGACGTATATAACCGCAACCACGAGATGGCTGCAGAAGCATTGCTCTAATGGCTATCGACATTGGATTCCACACCGAGCATCCTTTCGAAGAACTCTCCGTCTCTCGCGGTGATATTGTCTTGGGCAGTATCGCTTTTGGGTTCTTCGTAAGTGCTTACCTTGGTATTTTTGCCTCGCTTGCTTATACCCAGCGTTGTAGTTGGGGTTTTTGATCAATGTAGCATGGACGGCGGTGCTCGAAACCAAACGTGCCGGACGGGTAAGGCTTTCGTCTTGTGGCTGGTTGAACGCAACTCAAGGCGCTGTATAGGTCACTCCCTACATTGTCATGATTTGGCTTGAGATCTTAGGGTATGTATGTATTGCATTTGTTTGATGGTCACTAATCCATCATTTACCCTTAGAAACACGGTCTTTGCCACAACCACTTGGTGCTACCTCTACAAAATAATCCCGCCAGGTCTCGCCATCTTTACCTGCGTCATCGTCTGCTGGATTATTCAAGTCCAATGTCTAATGCTCATTATTGTCAACCGGCTGTGCATTTTAATGTCGAACGAGAGGCATCGAGTAAGTTTTACCTGCAATGCGTTTTTAAAGAAACATACTGATTTTTATTCAGCTTATACTCAAGATCTGCGTCGCTGGCTTGGTTTCACTCATTTCTGGTTCAACTGCTTGCATATGTACGTCGGTTCCTTCATGATCAAGATTATATTCTGACAGACATCTAAAACGCAGGGATTCCCGCGCAACTGCAGATTAATCACCAATACATGGAGGTGAGATCTTTCTCTCACGTAGTGAATGCCGTCTCTAATCCATGTCTTCAGCTCAACCATTGGTGGGACAAGTTCGAGAAATGTGTCTACCTCTGTCTCGATCTCACCCTCAATATCATGTTCATCATCATGGTCAAGAGACGGCTCGTCGCCCACGGATTGACCAAGTACAAGAAGGTCATGAGGTGTGCATGTTCTGCTTCGTCGGACGAAAGACCTCCCGCTGATAAACTTCCTCAGATTTAACGAGTACATTATCTTCGTATCCATCAGCATGGATATCCTCCTGCTAGGTGTTACAGCTCTTCCCAACCCATACGTATACGTCCAGGTGCGGTTTATATGTTTTCTTCGCGACTTTCTGTCATTTAATTTGCTCACGTCAAACAGTTCCACCCAGTCACATATATCGTCAAACTTGCGATTGAGATGTCCATGTCTCGTACGTCTCTTCCCACCTATCCGCGGAGAATCAATATTGACTGTATGCTTTTAGGTCTCCTAATCAAGGTCGCTCGATCTACCGGTATCAACGTGTACAACGAAGAGCGTGGCGAAAACATGTTTGACGGTCATACGACTGCTGGTGCCATCGGGAATAAGACGCTTGGAGGCAAATACCCAAGTGCAACCAATGTACGTTCAAAGCACCTTTTTGCTAGTGATGCTTTTTGCTGATTAGTGCTTTTTTAGTGCGGTACAAGTACACAACACGGTGTATACACACAATCGAGGATTCGTATGAGCTCTCGGATAGAGAACGGTTCTGCTTCGTCGGTATAGACGCTTCCAAAAATAACACGGTCTTTATTTTCACTATCGTATCTCATTAAGATGCGTTGTACGCATTTATTGTCTTTGTAGCAGAAAAATGAAGCTCAAATCCAGTATACGGATATTTTTATTATTTTCGGCTGCGTAAACGTGTTTGATTGCAACTCGAGCATGAAGCGCCATTACAGGAAGCAGTAAATACTGATTGAGAATCCAAAGGTTTGGGGTAATCTACCTATCCTATTTCGTGACCTAAAGCCACACTCAGCTCCGGCGACGCATGAGAACATCGTGACTTTTCGTCCTTCACTTCGACCACGCGTAGTGCTAATCCCTTCAACTGAAGCGCACGTAAACGCTGAATGTCGAGGTGTTGGAGATTCTTTAGCTTGAGCAAGACAGAGTCAAGTGGTTGCATCGGTTGCGGGGGGTATACTCCGTGCCTCCAGCACATCCTCGAAATTGTGGTCTTCCCAATCCCCGCAGGCAGAAAGCGAGAGGTTTCTCAAACGGGGAACAAGTGCTGGTCTTGATGTCAATATACGTAAGACACTGGGATTCGACTAGTTACTTACCAAGATTGAGTACATGCTAGACGTCCTAGGAAAGCACCTGTGAGGAGTCGGTTGAAATCAGGACCTCTTTTGTAGCCTTTATGTTCGGGTTCATCGATGCTAAGATCCCGTATGTAGTCCAGGGACTGGAGGAGCGCGACGACTTGTTCAGCAGAAAATGGGATGTGGTGTAGCGCTAGCTGGACCAGCGTTTCATTGACGCTGGATCGCTGGAGAAACTTGGAGATAGCAACCCGAAGCTGTGCTTCCGAATTCATGTGGGGATCCGGTCGAAAACCTGGCCACATTACCCCGCTCTTCTCATTGTATATCAAGGAGAGTGATTCTAAGCGGGGACAGGTAAGTCCTTCTAAAAAATTGCACGCCAGGGCAAACGGTTCGTGATAACGAGTGAGGTGATACACTCAACCGTCAGAGTATGTATTGTATCTCCGACAATATGTCCTAGGAAAGGAAGACAATTATCGGTGTGTTGGGGCTAGGTCTAAGGGAGAAATACGCGGTATGGAGTCGAGGGAAAAGCTGCAATGAGTCCCAAATGGCACTCGCTGACATTGATAGGTGAAGGTGTGTCACATACGACCATGGGATTGAGGAGTCGAGGCGATCGTGTATCCGGTAAGACACAAGCTTCAATGAGCGCAGGTTACTTGCGTTATGGAAGGTCCTCGTGGTTCCACGGGAAAGAGAAGACACGTCCAATTCCAGTTCGTGCAACCTGGGAAGCCGGTCCTTCGAAGCCAGGAGGCTTGCTACTCGGGTTGCACTGCTTCCCGACGCTACAATGCTGAAATAACCCCATCGGTGAGAGTTACGGCGGAGGAGATCGGTGACTGCGCTACGAGCGCACTCCCGATCACCGGTCCTGAACAAAGCCAGGGTAATGTGAAGAGGAACGTCGTGAGCCCGAGAAAGGTGCAGCTTGACACCATGAAGAAGCGCATGGCTGATGCTGTCTAGGTCGCGCCAGATCTCGATGTAGATTCTGGCCCATATTTGCGGTGTAGCCAGACAAACAGCTCGCCAGTGCAAGCACGTCAGTCCCAAATTTGTCGCGGCGGACGAAACAATGTCTCCATCAGCGAGGAAAGAGAACGAGTTTGTTTGGACCACAAAGGTGAAGATAAGGGACAAAATTTCGATAGGGAGTCTT